TCTTAGATCAATCCTAATTAAATTCAAGTAAAATTTTAAATTCTAATCAAATCCTAAATAAGCCCTAATTAAATCATAAATCTTAATCTTTGACCAAACCTTAAACCAAATTTTAAAGAAATCCTAACCAAATCTTAGATCCTAAATTAATCCTAATCAATCTTTAATCAAATTCTAAATCTTAAATAAATTCTTAATAAATCCTATAATAGATTGAAAATTCAATAACTAATGCTTGAATTGTTCATTTTGATTCAAAATTTGCAAACTTACAGCAACTTAGTTAGCAATTAACATTAAAAATTTGAAGAAGATTGTATATACTAATTGCAAGAAAACTCCTAAAACCTCTTGATTGTTGACCGCCCTCCTTCTCCAATTTGAATGTTGATCTTTCAACAAAGATCTCTCCTTGCTAAATTGTTCAATTCTTCAAGAATTTGGATTGTGTATAAATATTCAAGTCTAAATTGCTCTTACCAATTTTTGCTTCAATCAAATTGGCAAATATTGCCAAATTGCAAAATCCCTCACTAACCCTAAATCTCAATTATTTGAGATCATAATCCATAAACATTCTTGTATTTTTCAATCTAACCACTCAATTGACCTCAAGTTTTTCACATACTATAAAACTCAAAAAACCCTCAAATTGGTAAATATATTTTTATTTCTCAAAATCGAAACCCACCAAGTACATTACTAATTTTGAAAATTCCTCAAAACTTTAATATTAATCCAAATGATATGAAACCAACTCTCAAAAACCTCTTTTTTAACTTTTTCTAAAATTTCTTTCTATTATTGATAAAATAATTCCAAAAACAACTAAAGTACTTGGTTTTACATCTTAAGATCTGAACTTAACCTTAGTTGGCAGCCAATCTTCTTTGGATATCAATTCTTATTTTTTTAAAGTAATTTTTGTTAAAATCAACTTCTAATTTCTTCCTACATAAGCTTATCTCCTTTATATTTCTAATCTATCTTATTTTGTCTTATTTTTAGCAATACAATGCAAATAGAATCTATTTTCACAAAAAATAATTTTAATACTATAAGATTTTACTATCAGCCTATCTTTTATCTATGTATTTTTGCTATATATTTTTAATTAGCCTCTTTTATAATAAAACACTTTCTTTCCTCTTTCACCTTATGTCTATGTTATTATACATCATTGCTTCATAGTTTGAAACTTTCAAAGAAACTCCAAATGTATGTCTTTGTAAAATTTGCAAAGGCTTTGGATATAAAATTTACACATGTCTTATTAGAGTTACTTTTCTTTTACAACTATCTATAAGTAAAACAAGGATACAATCAAATCTATAGTAGTAATCTACTCAGTTGATTTACATATAACCATGTTGTTGATGTCTTGTTCTAACAATCTAATTTGGATAGTTATTTAATTTATAGTACTAATAAGTAAAGTAATTTGTAGTATTAATCAATCAAGCAAGTAGAATAAATTAACAATACACAACCACTTTTGCTAAAAAGCTTTTCTTTTATTTTTATCAATAATGAATAAGATATTATTGATCAATCTTGTTTGTGTGAAGGATTTTTTATTGGATTAACATTAAGTACGGTTGCAAATTAACATGAAGTAGATACACTACATGAAGTATATTATCTACTTATCATCATCTTTCTACAAATGAAAGCAACTAGAAATTTGAGCATATATTTTGGTCCTTGTTTCAAGAATTCTTTCACTATCATCTACTTTAATCTCATTTCACAAAGTGTTGACAATGTAAGAAAATAATAAGCAATGTACTACAAATCAAAAATAAAATTGAATTACAGATTGAATTTCTTTGAAATGAGTAAATAACCAAGAATATAATGCTAGTAATATTAATATTATTGTAGTAGTGATTCAAGAATAAACATAAACCTTGACAAAGCACATATAATGTCAATACAAATTTCCTTCAAGGTTACAAGCTTAAATGGTTTTTTGCAAGGACCTAGACTTGTAATTCACTGTAAGAATACATACATTCACATCAAGATGTTGACTATCTATTAAATTTAAAATTCTACTTTTGATTTATAATAGGATGAATAAGACTAATATTTATAAATAAAATTTAACAGACAATTATTCTTTTATATGAAAATTTTTCTAATATACAACCTCAAATTTGGATTAAAAATATAAATATTATAGCTTACACTATAAGGCTTTGAAATCTTGCTGCTGCTTGAAAGAAAATCCATCCACTTACCAATTTTAGTCAAGTAATAATTTATGCATGAATATGACCTTTGTAATAAAATCAATGGAATAATGACATGCTAAGGTGCATTGACTGCCATGGTGCCACTCTACAATTCATTTTCACTATATGTTATGTTAGAGACAAAGCAAATGGCTATAAAAACTTTTAATAATTATAACCTAATTATAATTTTGCACACTATTCAACTTTGTACTTGATTATTTTATAAGTAATTTATAATTACTATAAAATTGAATCAAAGTTTAATGAAATAATAAATTAATAATATACTCAAAGAAAAAGTAGTGCTCTGAATGTCTTTTAGAAACTGAGACAAAGACAATATACACGCAAGGCTTTTGTATACCAATATAATACCAAATTAAAAGCTTTGTTGTTTTTGCAAAAAAAAATATATATATATCATTAACATTGTTTGTTTATAGTACAAAATATCTTCTTCTAAGATAATAAATAAAATCCCAAATTACAAAGACTTAAATAAGAATGTATCCATAGTAATGCATTTTCTCCAATTAAATGAATACTATAATATGACTATATTGCTAAATATCATGACTAAGAAACAATAAGTAGAGAGAGAAAGTAAGCAAGATAGGGATAGAGAAAGAGGCTTTGAAAATGAATACAACATAATTTGATAACAAATAAATTGTAGGATTTAATAAAAGAATATACTAGATGTATAATTAGTACCTATGGTTGATTTAAGTAAAGAAATTATCACAAAGATGCATATAATAGTAGCTACCATTCTACAAACTAAGGATCTAGAAAATTGACCATTTTGCCACAAGCTACTACTTTCATGTATTTCATAAGGCACATATTCTATGAGGTAATCCATCTCCATTCTTGACTTAATATAACTAGATTCTACATGTCCAACAACCAAATCCCCCCTATATTGCATTCTTTTAGTACAACATCCACTCATTCAACTTTCTTGTATATCCAAAACTTTGAATACAATAGTCAAATTAACATAAATATTGACAATGAAGCATATAGCAAATAATCTCACTAAAAATTAACACTTTGTGTATCATCATATTCTATAATTGAGTAATTTAATAAGAAAACCATATCATCTTTGCAAATGAGAAAACCAATAGTGATAAAATAAAAACCAAAAAATAAGACAAAAATGAGAGCCAAAGCAAGTAGATAAAAAATAACAAGACTTGACATTAAGCAATAACATCAAAATCCTAGACTAATGTGTCAATGAGCTTCTCCTTATTCTTGTTATTTCATTGTGTATCCAACACATCACACACCTTCTTCAACCCACTAAATGCATCGTCCTTGAGAATTTTTTTGACATCCGCTTTCACTAGAATTATTATAGCTCTTCATTAAGAACTTGAAAATATTGTTAAGGGTCCAACAATGCTCAAGGAATTTAGGTTCCACAATGGAGCTAATAATATCACCATTTTACTTGGTTATAAAGAAATAATTTTCTACAAGGGCCTTCTAACATCAACTATATTTTCATAGGCCATGGACATCAAGTTGTACTACTCAATAGTGAGTTCTTTTGCCATCTCATTGTAACATTCATGGCTTCCATCATTTGCTCTTGTGCCTTAGTTATTATAGTAGAACTTTCTTGTTACAATACTAAAATGGAAGTGTCAAAGCTCAAACAAGTAGAATAAGAAACCTAATGCTAATCAAAACTAAAAAAATGTTACCTTAAAAGTAGAAAATATGAGCAAGCATGAATGAAGATGTAGGGGCAAGGCAAAGAGACTATTTTGGGGTGTGTCACTTACTCTCTTTTAAACAAGAATTAAGAATCTTTGAAGGCAAACAAAACTAGAGACAGCCATGATTGCAACCATGATGAAAAATATGGTAATCATAGTAAATGTGGTTGATTTTCATTGGTTGTAGATCTACTAGTAGTAGATAAATGAATCCAAAGGTCATGATTGTGATGATGGGTGGATCAATTTAATAAAAGATTAGGTCAATTTAACATTCTCCAAAAAAAAAAAAAAAAAAAAAAAAAACTATTTTTTATTTATTGCCAAAAAAATATTTTATATTGCATTTCAAGAAGTTGATGTAGTTAATTAAATTCAAGAGACAACATACGATCAGACACTCGTAATTTAGGGCTGATGAGCCATAATGTTTCAAGATCAAATCCAACTTGGGTTGATCTCAAGATAGCTACTGTTGCAAATCACCTTTTTTGGACTGGTTTAGTACGAAGATCCTGAAACACAACCTTTATGACGGTGAAATGAAATTAGATTAATGGATTCTAAGAAGCAGGTAAATTCTAACATCTAATAATAAATGAGAAGGTCTTTGAAATAGTGTTTTACCGGGTATGCATTTTCTGCTTAAAGGTCCCAGTTTTGAAAGCTAGTAAAGGCTGAATTGATCTGTTCAGAGAGTATTTTCGAAGTCAACCAAATTGTTCTGATGTTGTTGTGTTTTATTTTCGTCATGGATTGGAACGTGAAATAACTGATTCTGTGGGTCTCATGTGCACATTCTAATTTCTCAAACAGTGGTCCTATGGCCTTGTGAAAGTTCGTGGGGACAAATTGAATGAATCTGTGTTCAGGCCAACAATGCAAGGTCCTGTTTTTTTAACTGCAATTGCTTACACTCACAATTGCAGCATTCCAACAGTTTCACTTAGAGGAAAGTGGAAAGCGTTTGCCACTTTCAAAAGCCTAGTCCAATACGAAGTGTATGTTGTCTAATTTTTAAACCCTAAACCCTAAACATTCTTCGAGAACGCCTGATCATATCCTGGAGGCCAAGGAAGTCGATTATCCTCCTCGGAGAACGATTTCACAGGACAGAGATCGCTCCCCATTTAGAACACAATTTACGGAGGTGGAAGTCACTATTTTTTTGCTGGAACTTCACTTCACTCGGTGCCCAGGCTCTCAGAGAGTGTTTCCACTTTGGGTCATCTTTTTGCAGTGTATTTTTGTGCACGTCTGATTCGAATTCTATAAAAAAATATGTTTGGCAACGGGGACGCTGAGATCGGCTGGTGCTTCATCAATATCTTTTCAGCACTGCCCACTCTGCCACCAAATTGCATATCTTCTTCGCCACCAGTTACCTCGCAAAAAAAATTATATTCTTTTTATTCTGCTAATTTAGGAGCGTGCGAGGTCAATTCAGCGTTTGGTATGGCTATTAGGTCGTCCAACTTGTGTGAACCCGTCATGAGGGGACCAGGAGTATTTTACACCACCTGTGGAGTTCAGGGTTTGTGATTTTATTAAGCGTTAGGCTGCTTAGGAATTCGACATCGCCTTGAGCTGGATACTGACGTAGAGAATGGAGCCGTAGAACGCGACATTGCTGGACAGGAAGTCCATTCATGAGCTTGAAGACTTGGGCGATCATACTCTGTTGAAGAGCTATGGGTTTCTCGAACAGGATTGGTACAGTTTTTGCAGTGGCGTCACGACTTTAATTTGGCCACAATTGGTGATTATCTGATTGCAACTGATAGTAAGGATCGTAAAGATGGAAGCCGTGGTGGTGAAGGAGCAGTTGGAAAAAGAGTTGCTACAACCGTGTATGGATGTAGATAATTCGTCTCTGGAATCGCCGATACAGGATTCATCGAAATTGAATGTTTCAATCTCCTCCTCCTCCTCCTCTCCCCCTGCATTTCTAAATCACAAAAAACGTAAACACTCTACGCGCTCAGGCAATGTCACAGCGGTGGACATCGATTCCTACAAGTATGCATACGACATCGTCTCAGCTCTGCAACTAAGCTTTGTGCAATCCGACCGCCTTCTCCTGACGCTTGTCCGACGCCTCCTGTCTCGTTTGAACAGCTCTTCTGACTCTGCCTCGCCCGCCCTCGCCGAAGCCCTCTGTGCTTCCGGATTCCTTAAGCTCTTGCCACAGCTCTTGCTCCACTCGTAAGTTTTAACCATTGTTGCTACCTCTCAATCTCCAGCCTACAAAAATTCCTTTTGAACCCCAGACTTTATACGTTTTTGCTTCCTAACCCTATGGTCGAATGCATTCTTTCTTTCATGGCTTGTTCATTCATCTCCCTTTCAAACCCATGCTTTCAAGCTGCTTCCCTTTATAACAGTACTGATGTCGATTTGGCAGGTCTTCCAATGTTGCCAAGAAGAGCGCGGAAGCATTGAGTCTGTTAGCCATTAGCTCCTATGAGGTTAATTGTCAGGTGGCCACGGAGGAAAAAATTCTAGTGGCATTAGCACACTTGCTGAGTACGGCTGAATCTGATGTTTTGTTGGTGGCTATGCATGGTATTCTAAATGTGACAACCACTGCATTGGGTTGCACTTCTCTACGTGAAGTAGCCGGTCTGCCAGAGCAGCTTTTGTAAGCATCACATCTTGAGGCATCACGTGTATACATTGGTCTGAATCTTATGCCACACTTCACTTAACTTGCACTGGGTGGTGATGTGAGACTAGGCTGCTTAATTGTCGTACATGTTATGAGTATGAGAAGAGAGGCAAAAAAATTCCTTTAACTGTTACTAGTACATGTGAAAATGATCAATTAGCATCTAAGATTCTTATTTGAAATGCACGTAGGAAAGCACCGTTGAAATCTGACTGCCTTAATGGTTTTGACAGGCGGCTAGTATCTTTTTTGGCTAGTTCACTGCATGGATTCGTACAACCTGGAGATAAAGACATCTTTGACAACTCCCGCAAGTGCGTAGACAGTGAAGAATCTATCAGGGCAACCGAAACGGTAACTGAAAAATTGAGTGATCATCAAATGCCAAGGGAAGAGAACCTTGATTCTCTTCTACATCTCACCAGTGATGAAGCCATTGACCTCTTCGATCTTGTATTATGCACGCTGAACACTGTATTCCTAGATGTTGGTCTACTTCACCTATCTGGGGTGCCTCATGCGCTTGTGAGCTTACAAAGGCTGTGGAATTCCATCAAGCAGCTGCATTCTCAGTTTGATGAAGCTTTTTTCAATATCACGAATCATTGGCCTACGCTAGGGTTTATTCTGGCACCAAGATTAAGATCTCAACTTGCAAAATTGATAATGTTGCTGGCAATGGAAGCACGTGTGGATGCAGAAGCAAATAGTATGGATGCAAGAAAGCTCTTTTCGAAGGAGCTTTGCTCAATGGATCACTTCTTTCAGAAGCATTGGGAACTTTCTCCAGCACAGATGACCATAGCGCCTGAGATAAATGCATTGTCCAGATTTTTTGAGAAAATCGCTGGATATAGTCCTGTTGGATTGCTAGAGCGCCTGGTGGATACTGTGACGGCCTGCCCTCCTGCCGTAGCTGACGAGCTTGACTTGACAATTCTTCTCAAAGACATGGAGCATGACCTTGGTTGCTTGCCTGTGTACAACCAGGACATTCGACTCCTGAAGTGTAAAGGTGGAGTAGAAGTTTCTTACCCCATTTCAACATCGTCAGTAAGCTCCAAAGATTGCATACAAGCTTATATCTCTGGATATACAGTAGTACTACGAGGGTTGCAGTTTCGATTCCCTGAAATATGTGCGCTTTCCAATGGACTTGCGGCGGAATTGGGGCAGGTGACAGTCGGCGCCAACCTCTACTTGACCCCACCAGGATCACAGGGTCTTCGTGTCCATTTTGATGACCACTGTGTATTTGTTTGTCAACTCAGGGGTCGTAAAGGATGGGATGTGTATCCTCCTCTTGAGCAGCTACCTCGACTTTATTCCTTCAAAACTTTGTCTACTGAAGTAACGAAAGATTACGCTACACACTTCGACCTTCAAGAATGGGACACACTGTACATCCCAAGAGGATTTTTGCATGAAGCCCGAACTGAGTGCCCAGAGCAAACTATTGAAGTTCAAATTGACAGGCATGTTTATCCTACGAGCAACCCATCAGAATGGCACGGCGCTTCTCTGCACGTATCTTTCGGTGTTGAAGTTGAACCCCCATTTGAGTAAGTCAAATCTTGTTTATGTATCTCTAACTTGTCCAGGAACCGAAAACATGTATGTTTTCGTATTGCTGCTCGGATAACTTAGTATTACCGACCGTCAGAAGAAGCGAAATCTTCATTTCTCTCTCAGATTCTATGCATTGGTTCTTCCATTTGGCAAGGATGCAACATCTTATTGACCTATCTGTGGGACCTGCAGATGGGAAGGCTTATTGCATATGGCTCTTCGATCATGGTGTCACAGAAGTCGCCAACATACGATGCTAGGAAAAATGCATGAGATATGTGAAATACTTTTACATGTGGCGATCAGGAATGTAGGCAACAGCTGTCACCTACTCCGCAAAGCATGTATGCTGAGGAGCTCACAGATGGATGCAGATGCAGAGTGTTTGTTTCACGTAATGCTGAAAGAAGTGGGTGTATCAGCTGATTTCCAGAGTGCAATCCAAGCCTTCCAGAAGGTGGGGGTAACATGGTTGGACTGGGTACGGCATCTGTCAGTCGGACATTTTGATATTAATGAATTGGGTTGGGACTGCGACATGTTAAGCAAAAGCGACATAGTCACACAGCTTGAAGATGCGTTTCTCAAGATGCGCGGCACGTTCATTCTCGAAGCATCGTTTATAGAGTCTGTAAAGGTTCGAGCTGTATTGCTTAATAAATATAGGAAGAGCAGACAAAAGCTCATGAATGGTCTCCTCGCCTTGCATTGAGGCAGGATGGATCTGCGCACCCCCAATCTGATAATCAGACAAGTTCTATTGGATTTTAATCATGTTGCACTACAACTCTAAAAGCTTTTTCTCACAGCTCATCTAGGCGATACAATTCAGGATATGATTAGGACTTCCTACGTGTGAAAACATGGTGATGATTCAACATTTCTTTCGGACAACAGGGTCATGTGGTCTATGGGGGTATTATGGGCTCAAAATGAACCACTTTACTGGAGATAAGAGCAATTTACTCTTTCCACCTCAGAAAGGTCCGGCACAAAAAGTTCGGTACTCAAGCACTGACGATCTCAGGAAGGCAATCGACAATGTTGTCAGAAAAGTGAACTCTTACCGAGGGGATCCTATACTAGACGGGAGTAGCAGCGTCACCCAGCAGACTGACGTACCCATGGGAACCAACCGCGTCGAGAATAAACTGAAATCCCAGGTCTGCCTCATTCTGATTTGATTTCTCCAATTCCCCAAGAAAATAACATTTCTTAGCGAGACTACTTGTATTGACAATCTCGTAATCCTAGTGTGAAATTGCAAGCATGAGAGAAAAACTTGCGTCAAGCTGCCCTCAAGTGTGGAACAAACAGTCGCAACTAGCGCTCGCTCAACAGCACAAGCAAACAGAGGTCATGTATACACAAGACAATCATGGCAGCAAAAAGCAATGCCTCAAGAAAAGTCAAGATCGCCCAAGTGCTCTCTGCCCCAAGCACCACAGCACTCCATGCCTGGAAACAGGTATTAACTCAATATGCGCAGTCACTTTTTCTAATAAAAAACCCTTCTCCATACAATAGATCATGTTCTTTTTTAACTAATTCACACCCACATCATCCCGCTTGCTTCCTACTAGAACCGACCGCTCATAAAACCCCGGATTTGAAGAGTTTCCACCTGCAACCATGTTTCCGCAAATCCACGACCGTAAACAAATGCAAAAATCTACCGCCTCAAATACCCCTGAAATCGCTTCCTTCCGTCCATGCACAACTGACAAGACAATGACCGTAACAAACAACAGTACATAAAAAAACAAACCAACGCCGGAGAAACTCCAACAAACCAAATTCACGCACAAACCTACTCTAACAAACCCTCCACCACAATCACGCAAAACTGCCAACCACCATACACTACACGTCACACATATATCTCTCACTCCCCACTCGGCTCACACAGCCCCTTTCACAACCGTCCCCACAATACATCACCTCCATTTCTCGCACCACAACCATTCTACTTCTCCGCACCCCTTTACCTTCACTCCCAATCACATTCACCACTCCACAATTTCCACATCCATCAACAAAAATATATATCGCCAACCAAGCTTCCTAACACAAAAATTTCACAACTGCTTCCTGCAGATACACTAGCGTACATTGGTCTAACTCGTGGTCCTCCTCCACACCACCCTGTTAAACCCTATTTCGAATCCCACCCATTCCACCTCTACCTGTATCCCCACACTCTGCTCGTGGGTTCACTCTCCCTTCCAGCCGCTACATTACGCCGACCGGACGGCTACCCCCTACCCAATCCACCCTTCCCCATCTTTCTCGTGCTTCCCAATGCACCCCACAGTACGCGCCCTGCGTGCCGTGTTCGCTTCGAGCACTCCCCGAGGCCTTCCAACCAACTCCTCCCCAACCCACCCCCACTTCTCTGCATCTACACCCTCACACCTGCGCGGTTCCCGCAGTGAATCCCGGATCCTCGCATCGGTATCTCCCGTCAGGCCCTATTCCAAACCCTTTCGGGTCCGCGAACACGTTCTCCAGCAGCTGGCTCCGCCCCGGCAGTGGGCTCGCGTCCGCGAATTCCACTGCATCCTCCACCACCTCGTCGATCTTCTTCTCGATCGACTTCAATTCCGCCTCCGTCGCTATCTCGTTGTCCAACAGGTACTTCTTCAGCGCCACAATCGGGTCCCTCGCAGCGTAATGCGCTTTCTCAGCTGCACACAACAACCAAGCACCCAACCTTCCTGTCAATTCACTCGCTCCCCGCAGCCCCCACAAAACACTGTTCTACCATTCCCACTCCTCCCCGCCTCTACATCGCCACCCCTACCCTCGCCTCCCCTTCCCTGCCCTGCCCGCACGTTACCTGGCGCTCGCAGTTCGTCCGGGTCCGCCAGCGAGTGGCCCCTGAATCGGTACGTCTCGCATTCGATCAGCGTTGGTCCGTCCCCTCTCCGAGCCCTCTCCACCGCCTCCTTCGCTACCTCCCGCACCTTCAGCACGTCCATCCCGTCCACGTGCGCGCTCGCCATCCCGAACGCCGGGCCCTTCTTCCAGATCTCCGGATCCGAAGTCGACCTGTAATGCGACATCCCGATCGCCCACAAGTTGTTCTCCACCACGAATATCACTGGCAGCTTCCACAGCTGCGCCATGTTCAAACACTCGAAAAACTGCCCATTGTTCGCTGTCCCGTCCCCGAAGAACGCGATCGATACCGGCATGTCGCCCTCCTCCTTCAACACCTCCCGCTTGTACTTGCTCGTGAAAGCAGCCCCCACCGCCACCGGAATCCCCTCCCCGATGAATGCGAACCCCCCCAACAACCCATGCTCCGCCGAAAACATGTGCATCGACCCCCCTTGACCCCGGCAGCACCCCGTGCTCTTCCCGAACAGCTCCGCCATCACCTGCCGGGCCGGCACGCCCTTGCTCAACGCGTGCACGTGGTCTCTGTACGTGCTCGTCACGAAGTCCGTCTGCTTCAACAACTTGATGAATCCCGTCGACACCGCCTCCTGCCCGTTGTACAGATGCACGAACCCGAACATCTTCCCCCTGTAGTACATCTGCGCGCACATGTCCTCGAAGCTCCGCCCCAACACCATGTCCTCGTACAGCTCCAGCCCTTCATCTTTCGTCACCAACTGCCAATCCCGCAATCATCAATCGCGTCAATCCCCCACCCAACCACACACCAACCGTCAAAAATCCCCAATGCAGCTCCCACCCCAATCCAACCAACCAACCAACCCAATCCACGCCCGCAGTCACCTCCACGTCCACCTCACCAAATCTGCCTTGTCCGACTTCGACCCGCTATTTGGCTTCTCCGTCACCGCCTTCGATGCGGACACAGCACCCCGCACATTGCCGCCGCCTGAACTTAGAGGCGCCTTTTTCCCAGCGACACAGCCAGCCCCCAAAAGAAGCTTGGAGCTCTGACACCGGAAAGAAAGCTTTCTCACAACCCGCGCCACCAAAGTGGGAGCAAGGAAGGGTCCGTCGAGAGTCAAGCTGCGGCACCGCGACACGAAGAGAGGAGAGGGCAGCCATGGTGGCGAGGAGCAAGCGACACAGCAGCAGGAGGAAACAACATTCAAGAGGACAGGCGGGGGGCGGGCTAATATGAGGCGACCAAGACGAAGCAGAAGAAAAGGAAGGAAGGGAAGGGGGCGGAGCAACCGAGACGGAAGGGGTGGGTGGGTGGGTGGAGGCTTTTGCATTCGCGAGCCCAGCTTTGCTTTGCGGAGCCTCCGAGGCAGCCCGGCACCAGCCTCCTCCTCCTCCTCGTCCCCCTCCTCGTCGCTAACGGCATGACCGGATGACTCACCACCCTCGCCCACACCTCTCCCCCGCTGTCTCCCAAATGAACGAACAAACCAACTAACGAATGATCGAATTAATGAATAGGCGAATGGATGTGTCCAGGCTGACGAGGGTGCACACTCTGGCTACCATCTATCTCTGATTTCATTAATTCATTTATGCATTTCCGGTGGACCAGTCTCCGGCTGTGTGGGGCTTTGTTTCTACTTTTTGTTGTGTCGTGGAGCAGTTGGGCTTGGCAGCAGAGAAGGTGCGGAGCTCACACCTTGGCAGTTTTTTTTCTTCATTTAGGAATGGATTTTGGGTAATGTTGTAAAAAAAAATTAGTTGTATATTTTGTCCACAACTACTTGCTTCCAATAGGTGGAACTTTGGATTGAGGGGAGTAGTGGCATAGATAGTATGGAGAGGATTAAGGCAAAGTCTAAGGAGAAAAATAGAAGGGTACAAATGGAATTCAAGCATGATTAGTCATCTAAGTAGCATGTGGTTGGAAGCACCCTTATTACGAGCTTGAAACCATTAGAACTTTGTGTCATTAGCACCAATCCTTTGAGCTAACGACTCTTAACTGGAATGTCACTTTATTTTTTTAATCTAGGTTTTTCCTAGCTCATTCCCCAGCCACTAGTGCAGAAGCCGACGTGGATGCCGACCCTGTGGCCACCATCGAGTTTTCAACACATCCAGTGATGGAGTCATTGTGTCGTACGTCGTCTACATCCATAATCGTGGGACCAGTCGCTGGCGATGGTGGGTCTTTTGCTTCCAACTGGCTTTGTTTTAGAACAGTGATCGGGGTTGTGTTATTGCCCTCGTTTGTCGCTGTTGTTTGAAAAGGTCCTTTGGCACTTCTCAATTTATCCTGAACTCTCACTATCTCTCTCTTTTGCTTTTCACACCACGAACAAAAGGGTTTAATGTTAATTTGTCAGGCCAGTTACCTTTGCAAATTGTATGTTTGCAGCCGTGGAGAGTTTACAGCGATCCGTGATTTTGTTTTCCTTATAATACTGTTATGTGCGTGCAATTACGTTACAGTTATCGGATGTTTTAGAACCAAGTATAGAGCATACAAAATAACAGTACTGGTATGTTTTCGAAGTAGTAAATTTATTCATGGATTGTATATGAGTGCTGAATTACCCAAAGTATATTGAAATGTGGTCATTGTGTTGTTATTTAAGACTTTTAAATTGAGTGATTGATTTTTCTGTCACATCGGATATATGATGATTATTTTTGTTCCAAGGTTTTTAGAAACGGTGAATTTTGGGATATTATAAGTGGTAAAAAATATTTTTTGGTTGATATGGAAAAATTTGATTTTGAGAATGAGTCTTGGTTAGTCACAGAATCGTTGAAGCTGTAGGGTTTTCGTCAACTTGTATCAATTGTCAGAATCGCTTGTGTCGGTCCTTGAGATGTTTCCATTGGTGCCTTTCAAGAAGCTCGAAGACCTGCATGTAACAATTTTTACATGTGGATTGTATTGTGATTTATTCCAACGGTATTGAGACAATACCAATCAATATATGTCAACCAATTTGTTGCAGTCAACTGATGTTAAATTGTACAACTGAGCATTCAAATGTATGTGTATCCGTAGAATGGTGACAAGAAGCAGTGATATTGTCTGTAATAACTGGAACAGTGGCTTTGGTCTCAATTTTGGCATGTTCATGCAGCTATTTGCTGATACAAACACTCAAGTATGTTTAATTGATTTGTTGTAATAACAAACAACTTGAAGGAAGTAATAGGCAGCTTTTCAAAAAAAAAAATGGCATAATGAAGGATTTTATAAGTTTGGTTTTTTTATATTTTATATGTAATTAATCATACAAAATGTTGTAATCAAAATTTAAAGAAGGGTTATAATGTCTACTTGGACGTGAACTTCTTAATACATTATGAACATTTCAAATTTTGATATTGAATAAATTTGAATAAATTTAAAATAAAATCATTAAATTTTAGTTCTATATATCTTCATCTATTAAATGATTAGGGTAATTTATCATAACATATTCTAAATTTGATATCTTTGTAATTTAAAATATTAAAGAGTATAAAAATACATAGCATTAATCACATAGTAGATTTCATTAAAAACTATATCACCAGATTTTTTAATTATTATTTATAAAATGCATCTTAATAAGTCTATACAAATATAACTTTATTATTTATTTTGATTAATAATGTACAATTTTTTAGTGTATTAAAAAATTTATATATTTATATCCAATAATACTTTATGTTATGTTTAAAATTTATATGTTGATGTAATTTTTTATTAAAGTATTTATCCTAATAAATAATTTTGAAGCCAAATAAATCTAAACTATAAAAGGGTCATTATAATGAATCATACATATATATATATATATATATATATTCATTTAAACATACATATACTAGTAAAAATCCATGTTGTAAGGCTATAAAATTCTAATTTGTGGTTGCTAAGTTACAATTTGACCACTTGTAAAGAAATTTTGATCAAATAATAAAATAGAATAAAATAAGAGTATACACATAACAATAGAACCATTTAGTTATTTTTATAGTATTTGGCAAATACAATTCTTATGTATCACAAAAATTTAATAACTAAGGTAGAATAAACTTTGAGATAAAATATATTTATGGTGGTATTTGCATCTTTATTATTTTTAAGTATATAGGAACTAGATCATATTTGGAGAAGCATATTGTGAAATAACAACACATAACTTTTCATGTGCAAATACAAGATTTTTAAGATCTATTCTTATATTCTTGAACAAATAACCTTAAGATTTATTCATAATCATTGCAAATATTTCCTTTATTAAAAATTGCCTTTGCGGTGACTTTTACAAAATCTCTATAAATGATAGGCGTAATATTATTATTAGAAGAAAAGCCAAATATTTCTTATAGTCTTCAAATAACATGAATGTATAACAAATACTTTTAAGAGCTTTTTAGAAAATAATTGATTCTTATCAAATTCATCTTCCAAATATATATTTTTGGTCAATTTGTATACTTAAATATAAAATCAAATCTTAAATTATTGCAAAGAAGCATCAACAATCTCATCTCTTGAGCTTTTAACAACAACAAGTAGAATCTCTTAAAAATCATCTCCAAATATTATAGTAATTTTTCCAAATAATTTATTACTGTAATTTTGGTCCTAAAAATTTCTATTGACTATCTCAATACAATGACAATGTTGCATGACAATGTTGCATTAGTACTTCATCCTACATAATAAGAACCATCTTTTTTATTACATCTGCAAATAGTAAAGTCTTTGTAATATTACAAAATAAATATTTATTTAGATATAAAATTATTTTAAATATAGACTATTTAATTTATCTACGGATTTAAGTTTGTGCTACAATTCTAAAAAAAAAACACACACACACACACACACAGACACAAAACAATACTACCATCACTTTGGAATTTCATTGTTGTTGTATTATAAAGAAATTTTTTCTCACTTCTTGTTGCTCATTCTAAAGACACAACTTTTTAAGATCATTATCTATTAAAGCAATAATATCTAAATGTATGGTGTATTATTTATTATTCAAATTTGGTACGAATTCTTCTATTATTTATTTTAATGCATCACAATTCTATGCCATATACTCTGTAAGCATTTAATTTGTGGCATTTTCATTCCAAGTCATTTTCAACTAAAGTATCAATAAAAAAATCTAAATACCTTAATTGATGTTTAAAGAATCACATTAAGAAAAAATAGTCTATAATCATTTTCTTTAATTAGTCCCTCAAATTTATGATCTTAAATCAATTAGTAATCTACATCATCATAAAATATTTCGTTAAACTTGTTTCATAGTTCTTCTAGATGAAGAAATAAAATTAAAAAATAATAACAAACTATCTTCTTAAGTACTTTTATGTTTTGATAATAATGTTACAGACACGACTAATATTTATAATTATCTTGATAAATAGAATTAGGTAGACATGAGTAAAAGTGGATAAATTATATAACATCTTATGAAGAAGCTTCTTATAAACTTTACAAATGCATATTTGTCTCTCTAAGTATTGCATATGTTGGCTACTTGTGATACAAGTTGACCATGTAGTGTACATATATAAAACTTATCTTGTAAGTTAGACCAATGTCTTGCAAGTTGGACATGTATTGGAGGACATGTAAAACATTATCATATATATCTTAATTAGATAGTATATATAGAGGTATAAGTGAAGCTTTTCCTTACCATTTTTAATTTATTTATTATTTTGGATCTAATTTTAAGAGTCTCTAATTTTTTAGCCTATAACAATAGCCATATTAGTTTCTTCTTCAATAATCATATGATTTTTTTTTTCATCTCTCTTTGATATACATCTTACTTATTTATTTATTTTTTTTGAATTCTCATCTTTGATAGATTGAAAAAATATATACCAATAATATTAAAATTTTATATTTTTTTGATCAAAAATATATTATTATTTTTATTTGATGAAATATAAATATATTAGAAGTTGTAGATTATCTACTTTTAAACTAATAATATTCTTAGAGTTTTTTTTGTTCTGATATATCTTCTTATATTTGTCTTAAATAATATTAGATATTTTCTTATCTAATGTATTATTATAGAAAAGCTAGTTGAAATTAAGAATATAATGGAAAAAACATAAGAATAAATAAATAAATAAATAATGCTTACAATGCATCAATTCAATTATGAACCACAAGAAATATTAAAAATAAGTAGAAGTAACGATATAAAAATGATTGAAGCTGTTTCAACATCTATACTAAATCATATTATTTATCTTATATTTGAATATTGTTTAAGCATTAAGAATCAAGAATTGCATTACTTGAGAAGTTTGATGGTATAAGACTAAGGTTTTAAGGATATGTTAATCAAATATTAGTTATGATTGAATTTCAACTTTAAAGCTATCAAAATGTTAGATCACAAATAAAGTTTATCGGAACATTATTTTTAGGTTGTATTTTATAATGATTTTCATCTTTATTTGAATGACATGATCTAATATTGAATAATTTAGAGTTTTTTTAGTAGAATTTTGATCCATGTATAAATAATATTATATAATATGTATTACAACCAACAAGATTGGTATTTTGCATCAAGACAATTGTTCAATAATAGTATATGCTAAATTACTCTAATAACTTACAACTAATATTGAATGGAAGAATATTGCACACATTTGCCAAGTTTTCTACAAATTACAATATGAAATGATGAAATAGATGTTGAACTTATATAATCTTCAAATATTAAGTCAAGCAATTAATTTTGTTATAAAGTAAGACAAGTTGGCTTTTCAAATTTTTATTTAAGAATTTTATAAGTAGACTTTAATATTTTTACAATTCAATAGAAAAATTATGTCTTTTTAACATATACATTCAAAAGTAGAAGACATATTAATTGACATGGAAAATTTTAAATATCTTATTGAATAGAAAAGATTCAATGTTGTCAAGAAGGATTGTGCTTATTTTGTAGAGAATCTAAGAATATTTATTAATATTATTCAATAAAATAATACAACCACAAAATAATGAGTATAGATATTAAAGAAAATAATATGTCATAAAATGAGTTTATTTAGCAATAATAGAAATCATACAATTAAAATTCCATATGACACCTAGTCAAGGTCATATTCTCTTCTAAGCACTCTCTATTATTTTACAATAGATATTTGTTTAGGACCTAAAAATCACAAAGCTTATGCATTTCTAAATTCACAAGTCTCAATTTTTTTTAAATGAATATTTTGTCAAAAGACATAAAATATCTTTAATAATATATATATATATATATATATATATATATTATATATATGCCTATGTTTAATACATTCACATGCCTTTTGTTCTAAGTGTCTAATTGCTTGAAATTTGATTATTTTTTTATTTTTAATCTATATATGTCATTAAACTCTTAATATATTAAATATTACTTCAATAAAATAAAAAAAAAATTGTAATAAGATGTAATAAAGCATTACTAAAGAATTTTTTGATGAAACAATGAAGTATAATTAAAGTCTTTGGTGCTAATGGTACACTTCTACTTGGATTTGAAAGGTAAAATGGAATTGAATAGTAGTATAGAACAGGACAAAAAAAATATTTATTAATAT